GCCATCTTCACAGGAATAGCAGAAGTTTGTCGCGTGGTTCTTTCATCTTGTAAAGTGTTTGGCAGGTCGAACACGTAAGAGGTTTCCAATGTTGTGCAATGTTTATCTATTAGGAATTGAAGCATAGCGTTGCTTAAGTTTATCATGATAGCGTCTTTAAAAATGTCAAAATAAATGCTGGATAAGATTTTTAGGAAATAATGTATCTATAGATGCAGTTCTTTGAGTTCTTTGAGTTGACCCTCTAAACCATTTTAAAATTTCGTATAAATTTTAAAAATTGTCGTTTTGAACGTAGAAGTTCTCTATATATTGAGACTTAAAATGTGTAAATTTTTTGTTGAAATACAAAATTTTCAGTCTAAAAATTTTCAAAAAATTTTAATTTAATTAATTTATTTCTGAGATTTTGTAAAAAAAACCCAGACTTTCAACAAAAACCAAAAGGAATTTTAGTAATTACTTAAATAAATGTATATAAAAATTAAATTAAAGGTTTTATTAATTTTACTCTTTCATGTTTTATTTCATATAGTAAGAATTTTTTTCTCCTCCCACCTTTAAAACGCCCATTTCGTACATGTTTCCATGACACTAAGTGGCCTTTTAAATACACATTGAAAAGTTGTGGCTTTATGGCGTTTTAGTCACGGGCTGAAGTTAGTATTAATTTAGTTGACAGTTGTCAAATGTGATACAATCGTTAAAATAAAGAGCCTTTCTTGTAAAATAATACTAAATGTGAAAATTATTTTATTATCTCAATACAAAAATACAAATGTATTAAATAGTTTCTCAACGCCAATATTTGAAAAGTTTATATGAACATTGTACTGACCTTTTAATTTCACCGGCAGTAAACTATAACTTAAATTCGGGATCGGACTCCACTGTAAAGTGCTCATAAAACATTTTTTTGCTTTCACTGTGAAAAACTGTCCATTTTCAAGGAATACATTTCGATTTATAACCTTATAATCTGTGTTAATAAAATATAAAAATTTGACATTTGACGGTGACACAGATTCCCCTATTGTTTCATAGATGGCGCTCTATACAAATATTTGATTTAAATCATTTTAAGAAAGTAATAAGTATTTGTCGTAGAAAAAGTATAGTAAGCACCTCGTTTATAAACTCTTCTATACACTCAGAAATTTAAGCACTCGCTCGCAAGCTCGATCGTGCCTAAATTAAATTCGAGTATAAAATGGCGTTTATCAAACTTGATACCTAATATACTATTAACAATTTTTGTACAATAACATATTTAATTATTTTTTTTTAATAATTTAGACCAATCAGTCATCATATTTGGCATATGCAGTAAAAATTTATTATTTTTTATTGAATAAGGATTGGAATTGTTAAGAAGCATAGTGCTGCTTAAGTTGATCATGATAACGTCTTTAAAAATGTTAAAATAAATGCTAGATAAGAATTTGAGGAAATAATATATCTACCTACGTTTACCCTCCAAAAGATTTTAAAATTTCGTGTAAATGTAAAAAAAATGTAATTTTCAATATAACAAATTATGTTAACTTAAAAATGTGTAAATTCAAAAAAAATATTTTTTTTTAATATTTTTTGTTAATGTTAACATACAAAATTTTCAAAATCAAATTTTTTTTAAAAAATTTTAAAACATGTTAGTGTAGATATTATATTATTTCTGAGAATTTGTAATAAATACGTAGACGTTTAAAAATAAAATATAGTAAAACGGTGACACGACATTTTTGTCTGCAGATATTTTGTCGTTGGGTATTTTCTCCCGGGCAGTGGTGGCTGCTACAGGGAGGGCAACGAGGCAGTGCCCCCGATGCTACTCAAAAACATTATATTTAATTAATTTATTTGAAATGTTACACCCTAACAAACTTTTTAAATTCAATTCTCAATATTAACTTTAGGACGGTTAATATAAATTTATTATAACCCAAGTCGTTTTTTGTAAAAAAAAGTATTAATTTTTTAGCAAAATGTAAGAATTTGTAACAATTTTTGTACCAAAAATTTTTAATTATTTTTTTTAATAATTCAGACCAATCGGTTATTTTTGGCCTTGACGATAACAATTCATTCGTTTCTATTTAACCTCACTTTCTACTTTTAATAATTATTATTATGATTGTACGTTTTGTGTATCGTTTAAAAAATAAAATTGTACCTATAAAATGCCATTCGGCCAAAAAGTGTCTTTTTGTGCTTTGCTCAATTGTAGTCCTCCACTACGCGTTGGCCTTTAAACTTTAAGCTCAGCACAGAAAGACTTACTTCTTGCCCTTGTGACATGAATAGTAAAATATAATTATTTATAATAGTTTATTTTTTATTCCAAAATTGAGTTTTTAACCCCAAAAGTCGTTTATTGTGAAAAATACTAATTTTATAACATTTTATAACAAACTAAGTATTTTTTTATACTCCCACCTTCAAAATGCCCATTATCGTACATGTTTCCATGACACTAAGTAATCTTTAAAATACACATTGACAAGTTGTGGCTTTATGGCGGTTTAGTAACGGACTGAAGTTAGTTTTAAGTTAGTTGACAGTTGTCAAATGTCATACAATCGTTAAAAAAATGCTCTTCTTGTGAAATAATAATGTGGAGATTATTATCCTGATACAAAAATAAAAAGTATTAAATAGTTTCTCAACGCCAATACCTATTTGAAAAGTGAAAAACTGCTTCTATATCATCATTTAAACGGTTGTTAGTCCATTTTCAAGGGATAAATCGAGGGATAAACCACTTTAAAATCAGCGAAACCAACGTTCAACGTTATAACACAATGTCCACATATATGTGGACGTTATCAGTTATCAATTGCCAACTTACCGACTTACTGGGTACATCTCTTTTTTTAAGGAAATAACTAAAATGGACTGGTTTCATATTAGACCCCTGACATATATTCTTAACAATATTGATTTTATTATAATAAAAAATATTTTTTTAAATAATAAAAAACAAATATAAACAAGGAAAAATTAATTAAAATCAAATTTTATTATGAACTAATATAATAAATAATATAAACTAATATAATAAAATATAAAAAATGTCTAAACTAAGATTTTACGAGCCCTAACCACATAATGTTCGGACACTTCATAATTTATACAGAAATTTTTTTCGTGAATACTATCTCAAAATTATTAGAAGTTATGAAAAATTCAGCTTATTTTGGCATATACCCCTCGAAGCGATTTTTATTTTTAAAAAGTTTACCTTTTATTTTTAGCTTTTAAAAAAAGGCTAACTTTTTAACTTTTTTTTGTATGAGTAAAAAAAGTTATAAATGGACCCATTAAAAAGAGCATAAAATATTATACAAACCCTGAAAATTTGGTAAAAAATAAATAAGTTATAAAAAAGTATAAGTAATTTAAAAATGCTATTTTTAAAGAGTTTTTGCAATTTTCTTAGGAAACGGGAGATTTTGCAGATATATATATCGCTATAACTTTCTTATTATTTATACAATTTTTACCAAATTTTCAGGGTTTGTATAATATTTTATGTTCTTTTTAATGGGCCCATTTATAACTTTTTTTACTCATGCAAAAAAAAGTTAAAAAGTTAGCCTTTTTTTAAAAGCTAAAAATAAAAGGTAAACTTTTTAAAAATAAAAATCGCTTCGAGGGGTATATGCCAAAATAAGCTGAATTTTTCATAACTTCTAATAATTTTGAGGTAGTATTCACGAAAAAAAATTCTGTATTAATTATGAAGTGTCCGAACATTATGTGGTTAGGGCTCGTAGAATTGTTCAAAAAATTATCTATTTTTTATTATTAAACATTGTTTAACAAACGTAAAAGTAAAAGAAAAAGCATATGGGTCATTCCACGTTACTCGGGGATTTGTGTCCCGCCCGTCACAATTAAAAATTGTGAGTAAAAACTACACGTTATAAAATTTATTTAAAAATATTGTTTTATTATGCTTTTAATAAGTTATTTATAACTTATAAGCACAATAAAAATAATATTATAAAATATTAATTTTATAACTTGTGGTTTTTACTGACAATTTTTAATTGTGACGGGCGGGACAAAAATTACCGAGTAACGTGGAATGCCCCATATATAAAATAATTATAATAAAAGTCGCATGTATATTTTGAAATTAATATTGGTTTTAAATTGAGGCACTTTCTACAAAAATGTTGTCCAAGAATGTTTTGTTGATTATTTTTATTTTAAAAATGATATCTTAGATATGATATATAAAAATATTAAACAACATTTAAAATCCACTTTGAGAAACAAAGACTAAATGCAATTTAAAACTTACTCTCTAAAAATGAATTAGTCAAAAATATCTAATTTAATAGTTATTAGTGGTTGCTTTTTCACTTTTACCATGGTTAACCATGGAATACCATGGTATCCCAAAATTTAACAGCAAAATTCCTATGTAAAATTGTCAACTGAATCCGAAAATACCGACAAAAATTATGAAAGTGGAGCAGTTTTTGAGATATAGTCAATTCCATATTAAATGGAAAATTGACTATATCTCAAAACTGTTCTACTTTTTTAACTTTTGACGACATTTTCGGATTCAGGGGACAATTTTAAAAGACTGTTATGTTTATTTATATGCAATAGTTTTTTTCTTAAAATTTGATTTTGTATTTTTTTGATTTAACCTTGATAGAATCAATGAAAACTACATTTAATAATTTTTAATTATTTAGATTTTTAAACAATTCAATAAATCTATTGTCAGCACTTTTAAATTAATAACAGTATTAAATTTATATTATACCAACAACTCCCTCTACATTAAAACCACCAATCAAGTTTTCCACAATAGAAATAACAGTATCGCTTAATCCTGCTGCCAACACAAGTCCTGCAGATGGCGTCGCATTCCAAACAAAAACACTACAGCAGCGGTAGCAGGAAATCGCCCGCCTGATAAACCCCAGCTCCCGCACCTGCCCGCTAGAGGTCGCCTTCGAAAATTTAAACCCTAAATCTATACTTTATCGCATGCCTCCTGTGAGCCAGCAGGACATACGAAGCGGTAACGCGCATGGTGCGCAGTCAAGAAGTGGATGGTAATCTGGTGCGGACGAAAATTTCAACGCGCTCCCGTGTGTTTGTGTAACGAAAATGTGATAAGATAACACACTTGATACGTGTATACATACAAAAAATACGAGTAAGTCAAAATGCACTTGTTTCGTATTTGACGAAAAAGCAAAAGAAAGTTTTAGTTTTTGTGTTTATTGGATTGCAGCTAGCTTCTTTGTGCGAAAAAATTAAACGAGTTAGTTGTGATTGGCTAAAATGACAACACTGGAACTGTACACTAAGGTAATAAACTTTAATTAATTCCATTAACCCTTGATTTACTGTGTGTTTTTCTGAATAAACTCTAATATACTTACTTGTATAACGTATAGCAAATAGGTGGAATTGTTGTTTTAAAATATCGATAACATATCATCAAATTCGTGTTTTTTGCAATTTTTTATCATTATACAGTGCGTAGTCAAAAACATAGATGACATTTACTTATAAACACTTCATTATGTTTGTTAACTATCAGTTGTCACCCTCTTTGTTTTCTTATTTACTTAAAAAAAAATTACATTTTGTAGCAAGTTTTTGTTTGGAAATGCAAATTTTAACAAACGTCATTAATAATTTCCTATGACTACAAATTAAATTTGAATAATCAAGTCAACATTTAGACCTGGATTGCAAATCGACAAAATCGGAAAACAGAAAGATTTAATATTATTAAAAAAAAATAAAAAAATTAGGATGAGATGAATTGCTTGGAAATAAGAACAGACTTTCTATTAACTGATTTCCAAAAACGTTTTTAAAAAACATTTTATTATGAAGTTAGTTTAATTGTTACTGTTTTTGTTGGGGTTTTTCAAATATTAGAAAAAATATCTCGGAAACGGAGATACCGGAAATTCATTAAAAGGAAATTTTGCTTATTTTTATGAAAGAATTTTCACAATATTTTTTAACCACTCTGTATTATACTTCTCTAATTTATTTAATTTAAAACTTGCTGAAAATGGACCAAACCTAAAAAAATAAATAGGTGGGTTATTTAATATAACTTCGTCGCGCACCACCTTAATCTATCATAATGGGCCCTAAGGAATTCCAAAATTTTTTTTACAAAAATCTACCTTCTTTATTTTAAAAGATATAGGGGATGCAATTTTTTTTAATGGCAATATTGTGTACTAATAAGTGGTAGTTTAATCATGACAACAAACAACAATCCAACTGGAAAATTCGTTTCTTTTACTTAAAGGTTATTTATTCAGACTTGACAGAAGCAAATACAAGGAAACTAATAAAATCATAAAATAAATCTATGAAGAAAACCTAAACCGATTTTAATATTACATTGAGACATACACACAGGCTAAATGACTTAAGCATTCTCCAAACACAACATACATATCAGAATACTTAGTAAGTACTACTCAAAAAATGAATACTTAACAATATTTTATCTACGCCAGTGAGATAAGAACTTCTTATCCCACTCATTTTGAGTGAGATAAGAAGTTCATTAACGCACGCGTTTTTCTCTGCTTTTAAGCAATCAAATAAAAAAGTCAAAATGTCAAAATAACCCTAAATTAAAGTCTTAGACAAAAATAATTACCGTTTATTTTTCCATGTAGAGGCGTAGATAAAAATTTGTACAATATACGTGTGATAACGCTTTATTAACGTACTTTTGCGATTGCCCAACTCGTGCTACGCACTCGTTGGGCAAATTTCGCATGCGTAAGTTAATAAAGCTCTTATCCCACTTATATCGTAAATAACTATAACAGCATTTAATGCTATGACAGAATCTAGTTTTGAATTTTAACTGTCAATCATTGTCTTTAGTGTAATATCAACATACAATTAATTAAGCAATTAATTGTTGTGATAATCAATTGTTGCACATCATGTTGCCGAACGCATGTAGAAATCCTAAAATGCATTTTTCATAAGATGAAACATGAGTTCCCAATGAAACCATTTTTTAAACATTCTGTATATTATTACGATTATTATTAATAAGACTTGAAACAATATAATCAAGGTAAACCTATTATTTTTAAGTTTAAAAACTTAGGATTCCTGGGGGTCTGTATCAGTGGCGGGCTAGGGGAGGTCAAAGGGGGGAGTCCGCCCCAGGCCCCCGGTCTCCAAATACCGAAAAGTCTCCCACAGTCTAATAAAAATAACGCTAAAATGTTTTTGTTTCTGAAGAATGTTTTTTAATTAGGAACTAATAAATCATTTTAGTAATAGAAAAAAGTAATATTTTGTATAATAAATTTCACCTTTATCGAAAAATTAATATTTACTTTTAATTAATTTTAAACCGGTTTTTGAATTATTACACAGTGATTTTTATATACCTAGTTTTACTTTTTTGTATTAAATATTTATTTTATGTTAGGTAACAAAAAATGTGATTATGTTTTTGAAATAAAATATTAAAATATTTTATCTACTCCCACATTGACAAGCTGTGACTTTATGGCGTTTTAGTCACGGGCTGAAGTTAGCCACAGTGGCTTTTGGGCATTTTAGTCACGGGCTGAAGTTGGCTTTTTTATAAATTGTAAAAAAGTGAGGTTAAATTCTTCAGATCTCAAATATTTATAAATTAAAATTGGAATAAAATTCTTATTTCTGTTTGTCGTAGGTAATCTACGACTAACAAAAATAAGAATTTAAAGCCAATTTTATTTTATAAATATTTGACAATTGACGAATTTAACCTCACTTTTTCGCAATTTATAAAAAAGCTAACTTCGGCCTGTGACTAAAACGCCATCCATGTAGAAGTAGATAAAGTATAGTATGCAACTCGTTTTATAAACTTTTCTAGACACTCGTTTTAAAACACTTGCTCGCAAGCTTCGCAACTAAAATAGCGTTTATAAAACTTGATACATAATATACTATTGCGTACAAGGTTTTTATAATTTAAATTGTCTAAACCATTTTGGTATATTGCCAAAATGATAAAAAAAATTACAATCAATATTTTGTATTTTTATTTGTTTTTTAATGTTATTATTTATGTTAAAATATTATATTATGTTAAAAAAATATTATATAAAATTCTATTTGTTCATTTAAATTATATATATTTACTTTAAACCTCTAGAAATTTTGATGTTATTAATAATTAATAATTATATCAAGCTAACCTAAGTATTCTACCTTTTAATTTTTGAAATTTTTTGTAAATTTCCCAAATAATACTTTTATATATATATATATCAATCCAATAAAATAACTTTACTCTAAATATATAATACATTCATTCGCTTTAAAGTTCTATAACCTAATAATTTAAATAATTTGAACCAAAAAAAGTATATGTTTACAAACCGCCAATAATATTAAATATTCGTCATAACAATGTTTAAAGTTAAATGCTCTAATAAAGTCAACGTTTTATTTATTATGTGTATTTTAAATAAAATCAAGGTAGAGAATGGATGCCAATAAACTTGTCGCATAAATAGGTTCAATGATACGTCCATGCATTTTTATCAAATTTAACCCAGTTATAAAGTAAACGTCGATACCATGCCAGTATTATTTACTATTCAATTAATTTCATCTGTGGACCCAACTTGTTTTAAAAGTTTGTAGCTCAACAAATAAAGCAGTTTTTAGACACATTTCTGTTGAGTATCTATAGTTTTCTGCTCTTTATTTCTTTTTGCTAAAGAAAATTAAAAATATAATTTTAAGCCATTTTAATTAAAACAAATTATGGGTACAATGTACCAGATAAATAACATTTTTATGTTTAATTTAGTTTTTAGTACAATTAAAATGGAATAAGCGTTAAAATGATATTTGAACTTGAACTTTTATTTAAATACCAAGTGCCAAGTAAATAGTGTTATTGAAGGTAAACTGTAACTGTAATCTTTCTCCCAAGAACTTTTATTTTAATTTTAAAGTTTTTCCATTAAAATAACATAAAAATTTAAGGATAGCTTGCCGACATTTTACGTTATTACAATTAACATAGGTGCGATTTGTACATGATTGGATGCTCTTTTAAAGTACTTGCAACAATTTTACTACAATTCATATATTTAGACCTGTACCTATACGTACGTCATCGAAGTCAGTTACTGGTAAAAAGTAAACAAATCATTTATTAAAAATTTAATTTCCTACAAAAAATTCGTATGAATTAAAGCACTAAACTGCGTTTAGAAGATAAAGTGTGACCCATGTGTGCTATCTTGATAAACTGTATTTTTGGAGCAAAAAACACTATATTTTTACAAGTCAGTTTTTGAGTAAATGTTGAAGAATTTTATTAGAGATTTTTTTAAATCTATGAACGGCACTGGATTCACCACCCTTATAAACGACCCTTGACAATTTTTAAGTAGGAACGATTTTGTAGCTAAATTAAAAATGCACAATAATTACTATTTTCAAAAATTTATTCTGTCAAGTTATTCATGAAAAAAATATTGAAATAAAATCATGGTATAAATATCGGTAAGCTTAGTTTTAACAAATAAAAAAACGCAATAGAAACTTAAAAAAACAATGAAACAGAAAATAGAGAATTCCAAAAATTCTCTACAATTAGATTTTTGTCACCTCTACTAATCCACCATTTATTTTAATACACCTTAATATTTGTTCTGGAGTAATGGCCGCGCAGGCTAATCGTTTCAAGTTAAATTATTTTAATAAAATTTAGGATAGGGTCGTTTTGAGGGGTGGTGAATCGCTTATATAGTAGGCCATGTATTTTATGCAAATATGGAGGTTTTGGCTACAAAAATACAGTTTATCAAGACCTACACTTTAATAGTTATTTGTTTTACAAGTGTTGAAAAGTGACTTTTTCATGCGAGTGTTTAAGTTGCTCTCGAGGCCGTCAGGCCTAGTGTGCATTAACACGAGCTTGAAGAAAGCTTTTCTAACTAGTGAAACTACGACTCTTTTATTTTTTATTTTATTCAAATACAAAACAAAATAACCTAAAAACGTGTTAGACAGCTGTTAAAATTACTTTCATCTTATTCTTTTAATTTTTAAGTTATAAGATACTTAAAATCAATAAACTTAACTTCTCAATTTAAATAAAGGCACTAAAAATTAGAATTAGAATTAGAACACAATTAATTGGGTTTTTATAATAAATTCAATTTATTATACAAACTCAATTTATTGTGTTCTTAATGATCTTTAGACATACATATACAAATTTTGAAACGAATGTCAAACGATGCTGTCAATTTCTTTTCACACAGACCTGTCACTTTTCACACAGAAATGTCACT